CTCCTAGCGACGATGTTGAGCCAAATTTTCCAACTTACCTCGCAAAGTTTTCAATAATAACTCTCATTCTTGCTTCTCGGCTTCTAATTTTACTACTTCCTCATCTACTAACTTCTTCTTTTTCTGCCTCAGTCAAATTTAACTTTTTTTCTTCTTCAATATGATTTAAAGTATCCCAGAGAATTTTTACTATGGCTCGCGTTCCTTCGTAAGCATCGACTACTTCGTAGTGTTGTCTCTCATAAGAAATATTTTTTCTCGTAAACAATGACCCAATTTCGCTATTGATGGACAGTTATTTTTTAATCATTCTTTCGTTTCTCCATTAGCGGCGAGAAATTTCTCCTTGTCTAATAATCCCCACTCGCTCATTTTTTCAGCATAGCGAGTCTCGAATTGCTCTGCAAACTGTTCCATAGCCATCACATTAGATCAATGCTCGCCTTCTGAATAACCCAATCCCTGACCAAACTCAATAGTCGCGGCTAGACCAAAAAGGGCCGAAATAATTTGTATAATCAGAAGTTTTCTTAATTTTCACCCGCGTTAAGACCAAGTACTACCAGGCTTTTTGACAGTTCCTTAATCCTAACTTTTTTTCGTCTCGATCTATATTATATATTATACGGTAATTCGGTAGGAAATTTTTCGTTCCGGTGGCGAGAGGAGATGGTAGTTTCATCGTTGGCATCGGTATTTGGGGTATGTTGGTTAGACTTATTTGCTTAGACGTCGTTTCACCTGTCCTCGCTGAGAGTTAAGAATGCGGTGGATAAAAAATCCCCTATAACTTTAGGCTTTTTTCTAGAACTTATTTTTTTTATGTGGTGTTTTTTTATGTGGTGTATGTGTGTGAGTGCGGGTAGTTGAACAAAAGCAATAGGGGACTCAACTAGATTGAAGGTCTAACTTTTTGTTCAATCGAAGTGGGTCTAACGGACTCTTTTGTTTGTGGGCAACATAAAAAAGATTCAAGTCTTTTGCTTAACTCCTCTACCAGAGAAATAGTTGACCAGTGGATTAAAATTATAGTTTCTTTTTCTCTTATATTTTTTACCATTTATATGTGGTAAGCAATTTTTTTAACTAACGAACAAATTTTAGACTAAAAAACATTCAACTCATTCGCTATTTTTTTTCAAAATTCTTCAAAATTTTTAATTCTAATTTCTGGATACGAATTGACAAGCAAATTTGCTAACATTTTTCTCTAATTTTTTTTGCTCTAAAATTGCGAGGATAAAGGGTTTATAACTAAAAATAAATGATAACTAACGCCGCCCCCACCGAGACCCTCTTTCCGGATTTTTTCTCCCTTAATCCCAAAGTTCGACGGAAAAATAGTCCGAGTACTCGGTCTGGAGATCGGCATAAGAAAACTAGTAAAACTCGTTACCGGGAAAAAGTCCTAATTCAGGAATTAGAAACTCTGGGTTTCGTTTTAGTCTGAGAAGCACCTGGGCGAATTGTCCAAACTAAGCGGTGATGGCAACACCAAGAAGCAACAGAGAAAAATCCTTACCTAGCTTTGACTTACGCTTGACGAACTTATTTTTTTGTGAGCGAGGTATGCAAGAGAAACCAACAGTTTACGCAGGGTCAATACTTATTGGCTCATTTGATTATGAGGCAAAGGCGAAGACTAGAACAATTACTGGCTGGCCAACCCCGTTTAATTAGACGATTTCTAGCCGAGATTAAAGCAAGTTTTCAGGCCCTTCGAGTTTACGACCGGCCCGAGTGTTTAGTACCGGGTTACTTGGGGCAAGATGGTCGGCCACGTCCGACTGGAGCAGGGACTAACTGAAATGATCCTAATTATAGCGAACCCGGACGAAGAAGTTTAGCTTGTTTAGCTTTCACTCATCCCGTAGTTTTGTCTAAGGTGCAAGGCTGCATCCTGGATTTTGACCCTAATAAAAAATTGGCTAATGGGGAATACAAACTTCCCTCGGAAAAATTACGCCAAGAATTAAGTATTGGTGGTAAAAAATGAGCGGTCTTGGTTCGGAAATATCATATTCCGGCTTATTGGCAAACCCCTACCCCTGGCAATTCTCATATTCCTTGGCCAAAAAAGACCCACGAAGCGAAAGGATTTAAAATTTATCATCCCGCTTCGGGGTATTCCGTGGGTGATGGGTTAGGACCGGGTAATTTGGTCGCCTTACCGGTGGGCTGAGATGAGTGTCGCCGCTTTGTACTCACCGAATACGGATGAAAACAACGAAAGAAATCTGCTAAGTGAACAGGAAGAGTAGAAGCTAGTGAAAAAGTTTTAAACACCATCTTTCTTTCCCGCTCGAAAAATTCCGTGGTAAAGACTGCTAAAAATTATCCTAAACCTAACCACCCGAAGCAAAATCCTCTAGTTATCAAGCCCGGAGAAAGAAAACAAGTAAGAGCCAAAATTGTAGACTTAATTGCCGACTTTCGAGCGATGAAAAACGGAACTACTTATCACAAGGTTCGTTTCTGTTTAGATAAGCAAGTTGGAGATTGTTTTCTTTCTTATCACCGGGAACAGTGTCTTGGTCCTCTCCAATCCCAATTGGATAAATATTGTGATTTAACCTTACGCGGCGGCCAGAGTTTAACTTGAATCGAGCGAATAAAAATATAATGCTTTTTTTAGAAGTTGTTGAGCAACCCAAACTAGGAGGAATTTATTCTTTACCAATGGCAAATTTTGGAATTTTGAGTACTGAACCGGAACTATTGGGGTTTATTCCCCGATAAAAAGAATTGGACCGCGTAAATTCGGCTTTTATCCACCAAGCCCGCGAGGAAAGTTATTATAAATGATAGCAATTTAATTTGAATACCGATTACTCAGAAAAATAAGCTGAATACCTGAAAAGGAAAAAGAAAGTTAATTGTTTCCTTTTAAATAGGAACTTTAGAAAACAAAAAACTAGTAAAAGTTTCTCTTTTTAAACGATAAGAGTTTTGGATAATATTGAAAAAGCGGCTTAATCGTGATTTTAATTGATTCTATTATTTATTTCCTTCCTCGCTCGAAGATTGGTAATAATTAATTAGTTCCTCTTCTAATTTTTGCAAAATTATTACAATTCGCCCTAGTTGGCTGGCATCTTTTTCTTTACTCAAATCCTCACTCAATAACTTTCTCTTAGCTATTAATTCTTCAACATCAACTGACCCATTATTGTCCTGATCATAGTCTTGGAGAAATTTCTTAAGTTGGTTTTGCAAATCCCCAAATGTTTTATTCGTTTTCCCGAATTTACTAATCTCAATCCTTTTGCTTATTCCCAGCAATTCGTGAAAATCATCTAAAAATTCTTCGGCATCATCCTGAAATTTATCTCACTCATTTTTTTGGTCTTCATAAAGGCTTTTTTTTATTCAAGCGATAAATGAATCGAAAAAACGAGAAACGAAAGCTATGATCCCTCCAATAAGAGCTAGAGGTTTATCGGGTACATACTTATCAACCAAAAGCAAAATTCCACCGATTGTAGCAACTCCTCAATTAATTCATCAGAGAATATCCAAATGTTTATATTTGCTAAATTGCTCGGGAGATTTTAATTTACTCAATTCACTTGTGTTCTTTCTTCTCTTTCTTCCCCATTTGTTCAAAAACTGTTTAATATTAGCTCGAATAACAAATAATCTTTCAGAAAGATGATTAAGAGTAATAATTTCAATAATTTCCTTAAAATTTAATTCTTTTAGGTAATTTTGCTTTAGTAGATCGGTGCTTGCCATATATTACATAATTATACAAAATGCTATCTGTTTTTCTCTAGTATCGCTCTTGGTAACCCTGACACCACAAAAAAAGCACTTATAATCTAAGTTAACCCAAAATTTTCGGTTCAGATTTTCCAGAACCCAAAGTAGTTAATAACTGACGATGCGAAATTAAATTTTGGGAGTTGCTAATAGTTCTTTCTACTACTTGCAGAAAGGCTTGCTGATACTCGGCGGTTTGTTGACTGAGCCATTCTTGAATGAAAGCATAAGGTCATTCCTGAGTTTGTTGGTAGGCAGCCGTGAATTCTTGAAATTTCTTCCGAACCTTGGTTTGCAAATATTTTTTATGCCCATTAGGTTTAATTTTTTTTCGCACCTTGTCTAATAGACCATCATAAAAATCACGGACTTTTTGGTCGCATCACAAGCGAGAATAAGAGAAATTCAGAATTTGTAGATGGTTAGGATTAGTGGCTCGGGATAAAGCTGTGTAGACCTGACCACTCATAAAACAACCATTTAAATCAACTTTGAGTCGCTCGATACTTTGCCCTTGGCTTTTGTGAATAGTAATCGCTCAAGCTAAAATTAATGGAATTTGAGTTCTCCGGGCCGAAACGATGGGTTTGTTTTTGGTATCATAACTCGTAATTTTCTCCCAGACGTGTTCTTTAACCACTAATCTCTGACCATCCGTGAACTTCACCACCGGATAAAAGGCTTGTGCTTCACTTACAAAATCCATTACTACTCCTTGACTGCCATTAACTAAGCCTTTTTCATACCAATTCCTAATTAACATAACTTGGGCCCCGACCTTTTTAGTTCTAACTTCTCCACAGCTAAACAACTTCGGGCTAATTCTATTGACTGGCCAGGAAATTTTTCTTCGTCTTTCGCGGCAAAAAAATAAGCAGATCCGGGCAATTGTGCTAGTTCTTTGGTGTTTAAATTGCCCACTTCCTGATTTTTGGAATATAAATTAAGAGGCTTAATGCCATCATCAGGTCAATCCGGTTCTCGTCCTAATCAGTTGAGCATATTTTCTCAGCACCTTTTTGGTAAAACGCCAAAACGAATCATTTGTAAATAGCGAACCAACCAGTTGCTTTTTTGCCGGTAAACTTGGGTTAAGTTGACCGTATGATTAATACATTTGGTTCAAGCCACAACTTCAAAGCAATACCGGGAAACGGTTTTGCCCGCCGGAGGTAATTGGCAAAAATCGCCTACTAAAATTAACTGGATACCACCAAAAGGCTCTGGATTTTTTCTGATAATTCCGGCTAAAGTTTCTAATTTAGTAAATAGTTCCCCCTCTAACATGGAAATCTCATCAATAATTAGTACTTTAACTTTTTGTCAGTTTTCGTAGACTCGCGGTCAAGACCAAATCCGGTTTAATAAAACCTTGGCTGGTAAGTGTCCAATTACGCCAATTCCTAAATAGGAATGAATAGTGTTTCCCCCAATGATAATGGCTCCCGTGCCAGTCGTGGAAGTAATTCCGATTTGCTCTCCGCTGTATTTTTCTTGTAAGAGCCTGATTAAGTGCTTTAGTAAAAAACTCTTGCCGGTGCCAGCTGCTCCGGTCAGAAAAATACTCTTGCCCGCTAGCACTAGCTCCTGGGCTGATTTTTGTTGTTTATTTAGTTCCTTAAATGGGTTATTAATAGTCGCGAGGAGGCAAGCTTGACTATTGTCCTTTTGGACTACAAATAGGGATTTAATCCGGTTTTCACTATTTCTCCTCCGTTTCGCATTTTCTTTTTCTAACGATTTTACTAGCGGCGAATTGTCGCTCGTTAGGGTATGGTTAGTTTTCATATATTTTATTATAAACCTTTTATTCTCCTAATTTCACGACTAAAAAAATTAGGTAAAAACACTAGCAAATTCTCTTCCAGACTTGTATCCAGAAAATAGGGTGAAAAATTTTGCTGTTTTTTGTGGGAAAAATTTGATGGAAAGTTTAATTTTTAGAAGAGTAATCGCAGCATAAAAAAAGAAATAATGCAAGGAATTATTTTGTTTTTGTTGATAACTGTTCTCGCCTTGTTATTTGGTGTTCTCATCTACTTGATTTTTTATTTACCCCAAACCAAATCCCAAGAAATCCGCTCTTTGGAAGAGAAAATGCAACTTCGTTTAGATACCTTATTCAATCAGCAAAAAGAAACTGGCCAACAGCAAGAAAAGCTACTACAATTTCGTTGGGAACAACTGGAAAAAGCACTAAAAACCAATAAGGAGAGCTTAACCCAACAACAAAAAGAACAAGAAAATTTACTAAAAACCCACTTGGATTCATTAAGCAAACAACAAAAATCTAGTAGTGAAAGCCAAGAAAAATTACTCCAATTGCGATTAGATTCTTTCGGGCAAGAACTAAAATCAAGTAAGGAAGCTTTAAGCCAAATTAATAATCTCTTACTTACCCCTTTTAAACGGGGACGGCTGGGCAATATTCAACTCGATCGTTTGCTATCGCTTTATTTGCCCAAAGACGATAGAATTTATCGCTTAGAGTATACTCTAAAAAAGAAAACCGCCAAAGGGGAAGGTTTGCGACCTGATGCGGTTATTTTTGGGATTGAGAAGAAAAACAACTTAGCCATTGACAGCAAATTTCCTTTTGAAAATTACCTCTCGGCTGGACAAGAAGGAATTTCTCCCACCGAAGAGGAAGAGAGAACTAAAAAGTTCAAGGAAAACCTAAAAACCCATATTAAAAAAATCGCTGAGTATATTTCGCCGCTGGACCACACTAAGCACGTTATCATGTTTATTCCTAGTGAGGTAGTTTTTGCTAAGATTAACGAACAAAGTTATTACGATATAATTGAATTTGCTCTAACTAAGAAAGTCTCTTTATGTTCGCCGGTCACCCTGGCCATTATCGTTAACCAAATCCTCTGAACCAATCAAATTCACGAACAATATCAAACTATGGATCAAGTTCTCGCCAAATTACAAACTTTTTGGACGGACTTTAACCGCTGACAAGACCGCTGAACCAAAATTCTGGATCTAGTAACAAAATCAAACAAAGCCTTGCAAGAATTTAACATTAGTGTTGAGAAGATAACTAAACACGGAGAAAGTATCAAAAAAATAGAGACCACCCCCCAATTAACCAATGAAAGCACTTTTTCTCCCTCGGTTTTACGAGAGAAAGAAGAAAACACTGGTTAGCAAGTCGGGCTTGGCTTTGCTGCACTCATAACTTGGTAGCAAGAGAAAAAAATATAGCCGAGGAGTTTAAATAATATGAAAAATAGCGAAAACACAGCCTTTAAATGCTTGGGAAGAAAGAATTCGCCGAGTAGAAGCCGGAGAAGGTTATTTTCTTTGTGGAAAAAATTTACGGCAAGAAGTTCGGAAATTAGTGGGGGCGACTACTGGCCTTCGTTGCTGTTTAAACTGCGAAGAAAAACTCCGGAAAGTTGAAAGCAATAGATATAAACCTCCTTTTGATATTGTTGATACAACAGCAAAGAATTGACGGGAAAAACTTGCAGCTACACAACGAAAAAGAGTGGAGGAGTTTTTGTTTGCCCGGCAAATCGTTATTCCCCCCCTGCGATAAGTGTGTTAGTGAAGTTGAAATTGATGAATGAGAATGTCCTAACCACATTTTTTTTATTTGTTGCGAGTGTGGCTGAGATTGTTTTGTACTAGTTAAACCCCTAGCCGAGCAAGAACCACCGGCTGCTTGTACAGAAACTTACTGCTTACGTCATTGCCCTTCTTGTCCGAGCCAACAACAAAGCAAATAAAGCAATTAAAATAAAAAAAATAAACTAGCATATGAATGAACTAAAAAATTTACATCTCGAGCCATTATCAGTAGCCAAATATTTTTACGAGAAGGGTATCGATGATACTGCTATTATACAAAGGTTAATTTATCTTACTTACTTAGAAATGTTAAAAAAAGAGGGAATTTTGCTTTTTTTTGAAGAATGACAAGCTTGAAGTGGCGGGCCAGTGCTGGAAGGGATATTTTACGCTATGAAAGAATGCCGACAAAAATATGGTGATTATCAAAAATTATTTATACAAATTCCTTCTTTGACTAACGAGAAAGTTATTCGTTGTTGCGAAGAATGATTTAATTATTACCAAGAGTGTGAAAAAAACAATGATCATTGTAAGTTGGTGGAAAAAACTAAAACCAAGCCGTGGGAATTAGCTCGTCGTAACCTTACTAATTGGCTAGAAACTTGCAAAATAGAATTAGCCGATATTATTAATTTTGCCCAACTAGAAAAATAAAAGATATGTTTTTCGGATTTAGTTTATTAGTAAAAAATTGTTTACATTTACCCCAATGTAATTTCACCGATGCTCTTTTCGTAGACGATTCT